CTCCACGCAGAGCCCCTCACCTCTCTCCGGGCCGGTGATCCCGCTCCCTCTCCCGCTAGCGAGGCGCCACCTCGGGCCCCGGCACCTGGGCCCGCCACCCAGGACCCAAACAAAACCCGAGCGCCGCGGTGCCGGGACCCCGCTCTGCCAGGAAACAAGAAGTCTCTCGCCTATTGGCGGCGGGTACAGCTGGCTACCCGCCCAGTAAAGCTCGCTGCCATTGGTCAGCACGCAGGGGTTCCCTCGCACGCGAGCGAGTACCTGAGCCAGTGCTGTTTAGGGGCTCAGCAGGCCCCGCGGGCAGGAGGGTTCCGTCCGTGTGTTCTCAGAAGGCGGTTAACGGCCTGTCGCGCCGGGAGGAGGAAAACACAAAGTGACCAAGAAGTAAACTGGAAAAGACCCGCAAAATAAAATGACAATCTGTGAAGCTAATCATTGTCTGCCTTGCTCCTCTGTGAATCATAGGCATCCACCTGCTTCAGCTAGTCTCTCGCTGGTGGGAATCCTCTAATGCGTGGGCAAAAACCGAGTGGAGGATGCGGGCATCGATCCCGCTACCTCTCGCATGCTAAGCGAGCGCTCTACCATTTGAGCTAATCCCCCAGTTGTTCCTAGTATTCTTTCTTTTGCCTTACAGGTTGTTGCAAGCTGTCCACTGACCAGTGGCCCACCCGCAATTCAAGATATTTAGCAGAGTGCAATAGAACCATGGGCAAAATTTCAAAAACAGGACATGTGATAAGTACACATAGCAATAGTAATAAAACCTCGTTTAGAAACACATTTTAATAGGTCTGCATTTAACCTACAAGAGAGCTGTGCCGTACCCTAATTACTGAATATACGTTACGGAAAACTGGTATTGGTAGTACTCACGTAAATTCAGCCCACCTTCGAGAAAACCTTTTTTCCCACTGGGCAGTTGAATTAAATGAATATTAAAAAGTTTGTACGAAGTCCTTCGAGCCGGAATCGAACCAGCGACCTAAGGATTGCCACAGCTCACTCACTACAGTCCTCCGCTCTACCAACTGAGCTATCGAAGGCCCCGCTGTTTTCCAGGATTGCCGATTCCCCTCTAATACTTACCGAGGCCGCACTACTCCAGTGTCCAATAGATTTTTGAAGTCTGGCTCCGACCTTCTAATGAAGTTCACCTACGCCGAGCCCCCTTCTGGGCTACGCAGAACAGAGGAAGCCAGAGACAGAAGTGCAAGCAAAGGATGCTGCCGAAGGACCCGCTTCCCAGCCCTGGACGTAGGAAACACAGACAATATGCTTCCCTTCCATTTCCCTTCTTACTACAAAACAGCACCCCCCACCCCCAACCGACACGGTGGCTTCTATAGGATTGTGGACGCTTAAAGATACCGTTGGCAATCCTGAGCTTCTGCACCGCATTGCCCAGGGGGCCGGTACGCACACATGCTCTACAATCGCAGGCACAAGCCCAGTTTGCAGAGCAAATAGCTTTTGCTATTTCCACTCCACATTTCCTCTCGATCCTCCGAGGGTGCCAATAAAATCCTACTGCTCTCCTGTTGTGAAGGATATTCATTCATTCAGTTAGTAAACCAACGTTTTGTCAGAATCTGTTCGTTCTGACTAGGGCGAGAAAGATACAAACCACGGAGCTGCTGGAAGCTTGCAGGGTAGCGTGGGACGCGGCCGCGCCTAAACCCCGCGGTGCTGGACTGCCTGGCGGGAGTGGGACCCTGAGCAGCGCGTCGGCCACTTGGCCCGCGCCACTATTTGGCTCACACTTTCACCTCTCATTCCTTGAGCTTGCAAAGGCAGCCCACAATCCTTTGCCCACCAGAAGCTTCCGGGGGTTTAAAAACAAACCAACCTAAAACTCAACTCCTCTGTGAAGCCTTGCTTGGTAGCCTGGAGGAGTGGCTGTGCGAGGAGACCTGGCCTCCATTTCCAGCTCTGCGGTCGACTGCCTGGGCTGCCTGGAGTCACAATTGCCTTGGTTTCAAAACCCTTGCAGCTCCGACGTTTTAAGTGTTCTCTCAGGCTGAGCTTTAAATCCTAGGCCTCTGATGTCATTTTGCACAGCAGTCTTTGCGCCTACCCAAAATCAGGAGATTAATATCTTGGTTTAATTTCATTCTATTGCTGCAAACGCTACCATTGTGTCCCAGAGCGTTTGCTTGGGAGTGGGTTTTTTTTTGGCATGGTGTTTAGCATTCTCTTTGGGGTGGGGGATGTGTGTGTCTGGGAAGCACAACATATTTGTTTTGTTTTTTGAGGCAAAATTCGTACAATTAACAATTTTAAAGTATGAACAATCCAGTGGCATTTAGTGTATTCACAATGTTGTGCAGATTGCCATCTCTCTAGTTTCAAAAATGTTTTTTTAACCACCCTAGAACACCCCCTACCCTTGAAGCAATTACTCCCTACCACCATCCCCTGGCAACCACTAATCTGCTATGGATTTGCCCATTATGGAGATCTCATATATATCATAAAATATGTGGCCTTTTGTGTCTGATTTTTTTTTACTGATGCTTTTGAGACTCATCCAACTGTAGCATATACCAGTACTTCCTTTTAATGGCTGAATAATATTCACTTGTATGGCTATACTACTTTGTTTATCCATTCGTCTATTTTGATAGACATGGGCTATTTCTACTTTTTGGCTTTTATGAATAATAGTGCTATAAACATTTATGTACAAGTTTCTATGGGATATGTTTTCATTTCTCTTGGGTATATACCTAGGAGAATTGCTGGGTTTTACGGTAATTATATATTTAACTCTTTGAAGAACTGCTAAATTGTTTTCCAGTGTCTGATCTATTTTACATTTCCACCAGCAATGTAGGAGGGGTCCAATTCCTCCACATCCTTGCAGATACTCATTTTCTGTATTTTTTATTATAGCCAATATTTCAATAAATTAAGCTCAATTAAGTATTTTCCTATCATTAAAGATCCTTTGAAATCATTTGAATAGCCATTTCCCGTCCTTTGGTTTTACCACAGTTTACTGAAATATTCATCTTATTGTTGGACATAGTTTATATCCAAATTTTCATTGTTAAAACTGCTATAGTAAATGTTCTGGTACATAAATCTTTGTCCATATTTCTGTTTACTTCTCTATATATTTTTAGGAGTTGAATTGCTTGGTAAAATAGTGATTTTACCAAGTTAACAAAATAGTTAACTATTACCAAAATACATCCCAGAAACATCATACCAATTTCTATTATAGCATTCACTGAGTATATTATCACTTAAAAAAAAAAAATTTTGTTGATAGGCAAAAGTAAATGGCATTTTATTTTAAACTTTCATTTTTACCAGTGAAATAGATTTTCGAGTCTATTGTTCATTTGCATTTTTTATGAATTCTTTTATCCATATTTTTGTTTTAGCATTTTTCTTATTGAATTGTAAGAGTTCTTTAACATTAAGGATGCATTTATAAGCTCAGAAAGGAAACGGAGATCCTTGATCAACACATCAACTCGACCTGACATACACAGAACATTCCACCCAACAGCAGAATACATTCTTCTTAAGCACGTGGAACATTCTCCAGGATTGCTCATATGTTAGGTTACAAGCCTCAATAAATTTTAAAATGGTTTAAATCATACAAAGTATTATTATTGATAGTGGTATGTCAATGATAGTGATATGATAGTGATAAGCTCACTGATGTTGACAGTGGGAGAGGTTGTGAGAGGGGCAGGGATTATATACTTTTTGCTCAACTTCGATGTGAACCTTAAACTGTTCTAAAAAATTAAGCTTATTAAAAATTAACTCGTGTGATGACACAGTAAAAAAAAATTATACCAAGGCATTTCCAAAAACATGTCTGAACTCAATGTTTTTAATAGGCAGACTATTCAATACTCAACAAATATTCACTCATACCCTGAACAGTGGAAGCTCCCCTCTGCCCCAATTCCTTCTTATACCTCAAATCTGGGCCAATGAAACTGCCCCGTAAAAACAGAATACCACATAGGGAAAAGCAAGGTCCTTTACCCCTCAGGTGTCAGTTTACGTGTTCTTCAAATAACACCTTTTGGGAGCAGGACCATGAAGAGTATGTAGAAAACGGATGGCTCACTTTAAGTGTTACTTAAATCCAAACTCCCTTAGAAGACGTTAAAATGGCAAGATTATCTAATCATTGAAATGTGTAATTGACCACTGGGTTATTCTGGAAGGCATGCCCATCTCCATGGGAATCACTCCACCCTTTTGGGGTGGTGCCATTTGAGAATGGACCAGCAATGCTGTGTGAGCCAAGCGACATTATCTGCCTGACAATACTATCTACCCACAAGTCAGGCTGGCCCATCAAGTTGGGCTGCTCTAAAGCTGTAGCTGTAAACTGGGTACAAATAACCAGAGGAATCTGAAAACATGCTTCAAAACTTAGAAAAATGGAAAGAACTGTTTCAAATGAGTCATGTGATATAATCTGCAGGTCCACACAGAATTGGTAATAACTAGTTAGTATAATCACACTTCGACTGCAGTTTTATGGCATGTTATCTGTAGAACTCCAGCTGGGTGTGCAGTCAGGATGTCCAGATGTGACACTCTTGAGGTGTCAGTTTACGTGTTCTTCAAAAAACACCAAGAGTCACTGGCCCCCTGTAAGCATCAGAGTGTACTCTACAAGACCACACTGGTTCAACTCACTGGTTCAGTTTGGATGTTTTTGGCAAAAATGAAACATCTGGATGTCTGGCTTAGCTTTAATGGACACAGGTACAGTGCTGGTCTATTCCTCTGACAGAAAAATTCTGGACAATTCTAATCATGGTGAAACCAACTGAATGTTAAATAAAACCAATTCAAGTGTCACGGTCGTTGAGAGGCTGTGGAGACCCCAATTAATCCTCTTTCAACTTGCCTTGAATACAGGCCAGTTCCAAGGATTCACTATTCTTAAGAACTGACCATCTGTTTCTGACTAGTGAAGAATTGAGGAAATGGAACGTCTTAGACCCTTGGACAGTCCTGCCCAGCAGTCCTAAACCATGACTCTTTGCCAGGCAGGGTTTCTTTTTTTCTGGGAAAAATGGTCATGGCTAAGTACCACTAAGAGAACAGGGTTCTGCCCAGCGTAGGCTGTTAAATTCCCAAGATAACATAATTATATCCTAACAGGGAAAGGGAGGGAACACAAATGTGATGCTATAGTTATGACCTCACTTTCTGCCGAGATTTTCCTATGTTTGCTACTTCATAATCTCACCACTGGAAAACGGAGGCACTATGTCAGGGCAGCACATGCAATAAAAAGTGGTAGCTGGCCATCATTCCTGTTGGTTAACTCAGGTGTTCAGGGTGGTACAGAAACCAACCAGTGGATGTTGGAGTGGGCAGTGCACCTCTAATACCGCTTGCTTTGAAACATTCAAGGAAAGAAACTTGAGATGAGAGCTGAAACTCATGCAGTTATGACACTAATTTCAAGTCAAAAATTAAAAGGGACTTTGGTGATAAACCTTTAATCATGTATCTCCTGGAGTTCTAAATCTCTCACTGCCTTAGAAAAACAAACCAATTAATAAATTAAGGTTCTGGCAAGAAAGAAGTTACCCCTGATCACTGTTCAAGAATTCCCCTGGGAGACTCTCTCCCTGCTTTTCCAAGCAAAGAATACTCAAGTTGTCAAGGCAAATCACAAGTGGGACAATACAATAGGGGAGCAAGAGGAGCATATCTAGAATCCTCAACAGGCCCAAGTTTAGAATGATGGGTGTGAGCTTTCCTTGCCAGAAGCTCAATTACTGCTGGTGGCTACAACCCCCAGGAGGGGAGGGGCCTATGGAAAACACACAGGTGCCCATGTCCATATTCTGTTGTCCCGTCTACAACTATGGGAATTCCTGTATGAGGATGCAGAGAGGAAAACTAGAAATCAAATGTGTCCTTTATTCCACCTAGTAGACACACCCAGGAGCCATATGCTGAATCCTGTCTTAACAGGCTGCTGGAAGGTTCCCTGGGCTCTGCTCTCCAGAGAGATGGTAGGGGTAGTCAATGGAGAGAAACTGAACCTTGAGGCAGAGCTCCCCACCCTTCCCCAGTGCTGGCACTGAAGGGGAATGGAGTGTGAGAAAGTGGGATCACGATGGAGGGGGTAGTGAGGGGCTTCGATAGACCTAAGCTGGGCATTCCGGGGTGAGAGGTTTTTCCATCCAACCCTCTATGTCCACTGACAGCCACACTCAGCCTGTGGATACAGGTGGAGCTGTGTTGCTCACTGTGGTGCTGTATTTTCCTGGAAGTTCCTCTTTCTGCTGCAGTTAAAGTTTGGGAGCAGAAATCATTCATCAGAAGAATGCAGAAACCACTTGTTTGAATCCCACCTTTCTGAAGATGAGCTGTTCGGGGTTTCAGAAATGAAATGGAAGGAAGGAGGCTAAAGAGGCTACCAGCCCAAGGACAGAGGCTGGGAGCTATGTGCAATAGGGCCAGAGAAGTGTTCAGTGGAATCGTGGGTAGGAGGCTGAGACAACCCTGGGCTCAAGTCACTACCAAAGATGGAAGAATTGGGGCAGAGGCAACGGGCCACTTGCCTAGGAGACAGAACTCAGGCACCAAGTAGAAAAGACCCCACAGAGAACTACCCGCTCTGCCCCCAGCAATCTCAGATGGCCTGCTCCAGTCGAAACCCAGGGGCCAGGGAGGCAGGGTCTATTGCTGGGATATCATAGCAAGTGCCCAGTCCAAGAAAGCCACTGTGATGTCCTGTAGGCAGAGCCAGGTCCAGTGGGCAGCCTCACTGAGCTGTGTCTTCACGCAGTCCCAGGTCACTTCACCTCTGGGAGGAAAGCAGAACATTTGTGGGGGTTAGGAAGTAGTGGTGTGCAGCTGTGTCAGGTCACAAGTTTGCAACTTAGATCCATAACTGCATACCAGAGTGGCCAAGGGATGAGTAAGGGCCAGGGCTGAGTGAGAGACTGAACAGAGAAGCCTTGTCCCTAGAGAAAGGGCATGGGGCCACTGGGGCTCCTGCTGGAGCCCTGGATAAAGGTCTCACCTGCACGCCTCATGGCAGTGCTGCTGGGCCCGGGCCAAGGCCTCAAGCAGCATGTGCCACAATGGCAGCAGCACGGTCTGGTAGAGAAGCAGGAACAGCTTCCTCACAGAATAGAGCAGCTGGTTCAGGGCATCAGGGAGCTGGAGAGGGAGCCGGACCACGGAGAACAGATGGGATTAGAGTGCCTGGAAACGCATCCCGGCCCTGAGGACCCAGTGCATGCGGGGCTGCACCTGCCCAAGAACTCAGCCCTTGGGGAAAGCAGCCCTTCTCGGACCTTCCTGTCTCTGGCTTACCTTCTGGGAGAGGCTGGTGAGACTGTCACCAAAACAAGGAAGGTGGGAGGCACAGTGGTCAGAAATGAAGCTGACTGTGGCATTGATATGGGCCCAGGCCAGCTGCAAGCTGGGCCTCATCATGGACAGCAACTGGGAGCCCCAGGCTGGTAATGTCTCCTCTAGCCAGCTGTAGAAGACAGGGGGAGAGAAGCAGGCTGTTTCCTCAGGCAGCTTGGCTCCCTAAGAATAGTTGGGGGAAGGGAGGCCTTGGAAAAGGAAAACCACAATCACTTCCCACTGTCAGTGTTGTCACCACCCTGAACACCCAAGCCTTCTCTCTCCCCTCTCCTTCCTCCCCTTCCTGGAAGGTACTCACCTGTAGCACTGCAGACTGTAAGAGTAGATCTTGGCACATGCTTGCTGGCCAACAGGCAAGAAACCAGATGACTGAAGCAACCGGCCAGAAAGGGAGGCTGAGTAGAGAGGGCCTCTGGTGAGCTGGGAGGGGAGGAGGGTAGGGACTGGGCAGACAAATACTACAGGCCCCAGAGCAGGCCCAGTGAGGGAAAGGGCAGAACTTAAGTGTGTTCACAGGGCTGCAGAGAATGCTTGGCAGGAGGGATGAAGGCCCAGGAAGCTGAGTCCATTTCTCCTGCTGGGCCAGGTGAGCAGGGATGGTGCAGCCAGGTAGAGTCCCGGACTTAGGCATGAGAAAGCCTCGGGTTTGGGATCTGCCCTTCTACTTACCAGCTGTGATCTTAAACTAACTGATAAATCTTTCTGAGCCTCAATTTCCCCAGGACTTAAAAAGGATATAACATCTGCTTAAATGAGACCATGAACATGCAAATTTTCTATACTGCAAAGCACTAGTTCGATCCGAAGTGGTAATGTCATAGCTGTGGACACAAAAGGCTGTCTGAAAAGTGTCTGTTCTACAGCATCTAGGGAAAAGCCTGTGTGTGCTGGTAACAGGGGTGATACATCTAGCTCTATGCCCCACCTCCATGTATTTCCCTTGCAAGCCAATCCTTGCTTACCCTGGAAAGAGCCGTGTGACCGCAAGTCATGGCACAGGAAACCTATGGCAAAGATTAGCACCAACAGGAGTAGCTGTTTCCAGGGCAGCTGGCAGCCCCGAGCCTGCTGCAACAGATTCTAGGAAAAAAGGGAGTAGATCAGAAGGGAGAGGGGCTGATCTTGCTTCTTAAGGCAGACCTCAAGCTAGGCCCCCTAGGAGGAGGGTCAAGCTTTCACATGACCCTAGAGGTAAAGAGGGCTCCAGGGATAGGTGTGGCAGGAATTCGATACAGGCCCGACCCAGGGTGTGCCAAGACAGAGATGTACAACAGTTTGTGGGTTGGGGAGGGCTGGGTGCTGGCACCTTGCAGGCCGTATCACAGGTGATGACATCATGGTTATTACAGCTGCCTTTCCTTAGCAGCTCCTGATTGGTAAGCTTGAAGAACTGAATGGTTTCTTGCAAAAACTTCCGTGTCTATAGGATAAGAAACATCTGGATTGAGAATGTAAGATTTGGTCCATGAGGGAACTCTGAGCCTCCATCATGCTTCATTTTCCATGCCAAATGTACTAACAGAGTACCTTCTCAAGAAAGGCGGAACAGTGGCTGAGGGGTAGGAATCTAGAACCCAGAGAAGGCTCAGCCTGCCATGTTCTCCCAGCTCCTCACCTTCTTAGGAATCCGCTCCCAGGACCTGAGCAAATGCTTCAGCAGCAGGCTGTAGGGA